TCCCCATAAAGGTTGGACTTGATAATCTTGGATGTCTGTTCCAACCTTAATGAGTCTCTATTTCATTTGTTTTATGCAAAGCCTCTGTGTGTCATTTCCATGGTTCTGTAAAAGAAGTAGTGGGAAATGCTGTAGCAATAACTAATCACTTGGGAGTTAACTACACTACAGGGACTGTCTTTTAGGAAAGAGCACTCATTCACACTTCTAATTTATTAAAAGAGCTTCAAAATGTAGTGTGTGGTACCAAAACAGAATCCTTGTGTGGTGAACCTTTGATGAGTAGCTGCTCCCAGTCCTGGCTCAGCCTCCCCAGTGAAATCAGGATGTGGTATTTGAGAAAGCTGTGGTGGTGAAGGTTCTGCACTGCCTGCTGCCAGGGAGGAGCCAGTCTGTCCTGCTCTGCCTCCATCTCCCAGATCCTCAGGGGAAGCAGAAAGTGGAGCATTGCTCTTTTACAGCAGGAGCTGATCAAACTTTAACCAGCAATGTTTGGGCTGACAGCAACAACATGAGCTATGGGTGTGTCAAACTCACTTCAGAAGGCAGGAATCTCTGAGTATCTGAATTTTGCCATCATTGTTCCATCCTGCTTTACCCTGGCCACTGAGAAAGCATCACTGGGATCCTTTAGAGCTTCAGGAGTGCAACTGAAAGTGGTGTCTCCTTCACTGCTTTTTATAAACCCAAGTTCAGCTTGTGACATAAATGGTGCCTGCATGAAACAGAAAGTACTCTTACCAGAATTGATGTCAGTATGTTTTCAGAGTGAGGTGTTAGGGCCAGTTTAGTTCCTCAGCTCTCAGCCATCACCTGGGTCTCATGAAGCAAAACTGAAACTGCAAATAAGAATGTCTAGTTGGGATGCTGGGTGATGATTCTGACATACATGTGGCTAAATTCTTTTGGAATGTTCAGTTATTTTTACAACATAAAAATGGGATTTTCAAATGGTGCCCCTTGGTTCCATGGCTTTGGAGTTGCTTTTGACTTTTTAAAGGGTTTCTTCAAGTCCAATATAAGTTCAAAACTGTTGTCTTAGAGATCTATAAAGTGTAAGAAAAATATGTGGCAATCAACCATGCTGCTTTTTCTCTCCAAGGTTTTTCCACCTGCTTTCAAAGAATTGCCTCCTCCTGCTCTGGAGCTGTTTGACTTGGATGAAACTTTTTCCTCAGAGAAAGCACGTCTTGCAGAGATCACAAACAAATGTAGGTGGAGCAGATTGTTTGCACATTTAAAATAAAAGTCCATTTTTTTCAGGGGAAAATGGTTATATTTCATTCTAATGCATGGACCTCATTTAGGAAAATCTACTGCTCTTATCCTGATTTAAGAAATTGAAAGGCTTTGGAAATTAATAGTGCAACTTTATGTACCATGAAATTATATTTTGTCTGTTACATGACATTTTATCATGCTTCTGCCTGCTGTTTCCTATATTGTACATAAATTGCTTTGTGCACTCTTGCTGATAAATTTCACATCCTTTTTATGCTTTGAAGTTAAAATGTTAAGATTATTCTAGACACATAAAGATAAGCAGGTACTGGCTGCAGGAATACATCATGGCTAGTCCACCGAGCTTAATGATGGGACTGAACCTCCCAGGATGCCAACAGCAAATGGAGATTCAGAGCAGGTTTTTGGCCAGCTGTTCCAGATGTGTGACACTCACCTGCCTTTTTCCCTGGGTGCTTGTTTAGGCACTGATGATGACCTGGAGTTCTATGTGCGGAAATGCGGCGACATCCTGGGAGTGACCAGTGAACTCCCAAAGGACAAGCAAGATGCCAAATATATCCTGGAGCACATCTTCTTCCAAGTGGTTGAGTTTAAGAAACTGAATCAGGTATTTTTAATAACAATTACAAGTGAGTAGTTGGTAGTAGCAGCAGTGAGGGTGGTGTGTTATTGTAGCAGCTACACTTGTCACAGGCAAGAGGTGATGTAAGACATTAGCTGTGCAATAAATGAGACCAGTGAAGTGTGATCCAGAGTACTTATGGCTGTTAATGTCCATAAAACATGTACTGCTCAATTTATTAAGTCTCTCATTTATTTTAATTGGGGGATTAGTACATGCAAGTGTAGGTTGTAATTGCAGCTAAGTCCAGTTCATTGCTGGTGCCTGAGTGAGAGCAGGGAGTCCTCAGGAGTGTTCACAGCTCTGGCCAGTGCTGCAGTGCAGAGGGGACCAGCATTGTTCCTCAGGAGCTGCACTGAAATGCAGCTGTGCTGAAAGAATCCTTCATAGCAAATTTAATGCTTCAAAGTGTGTTTGGAGCATATTGGCAGAGCTGCAGTTTGTGCTAACAAGAATTGCCTGTTTCACATGTAGTCTATTTAAGCCAAATATCTTACAGTCCTACCCTGTTATTAAAACTCTTTCTTCTTTTTTTTTTTTTTTTCCTTCCTCTTCCCTTACTTAAGGAACATGATACTGACCCAAGTGAAGCTGGATTCCAGAACAGTACCTGAGACCTGGCTTTCCCCAGTTTGAGCTAGACCTTTTAGGGAAAGTATATTTTTCCATTTTTAAAGTCTCTCTTCTCAGTGTATTGATTGGGACTGTCTCAGTAGTTCACTGGATGCTTGGATCATTTATGTGTGGTAGTTCAGATAATTAATGCCTTCTGGGGAACTGCTTGTATTTTACAAGCACTTTCCAAAGAATTTCTTATTTTTCTACTTCTTTATTGAAACTGTAATTTTTTAATATATTAAAAAAAATATACCATGAAAATGTGTTTTGGGTCCTTCTTTCTGGCTCCAGCATTTGCTTTCCTGTAGTTAAGTCTTTCTGTTGGTTCTCCTGGTGTACATGAAATCCTTAATTACACTGTGAGAAGGGTTGTTATTTTGGTTTGTGAACTGAGGACAAAAAAATAGAGCCATAATTTTAACAGGAGCTGCTGAAAATACATTTATCACCCTGAGGCAGCCTCCTTTTGTCTCTCTGCCAAAGAGAACTAAGGAGAGGTGAGTTTGTTACTGTAGAAAGAAAACATTTCTTCCAAGGGAGGGGAGGATTTGAAATTAAGCAACAATGACATTGTTGCAATTGCTGCCTCATAGCAGACTGGAACTACAGAATTTTAAAAAGAGAGGACAGCACATGGATGAAAACCTTAAGATTTAATGGATCATTATTAAGAAACTGTGATACTGCACAGAAACTCATGAATATTTTTAGTTCTATTTATTTGATATCTGGCTCACTCCCTGAGGTAGTGAGTTCAGTAATGCACAGGAGTGGAAATCCAGGTTAAATTCATTGACCATGAAATGTTGAAGCTCAATGCACAGCAAAAATAGAGCCAGGGAGATGAGTGGTCAGAAGAAAAGATTTGTCAGCATCATCAATGCCACACCTCTATTGCAAGGATTTTTTTTTTATATTAACATGGTGAAATTGCATTTTAAAGACTTTTTTGGCTGTCAGTCTGACACTCAAATTGTTAAATTCTTCCCCCACTCAAGCCTTCCATGACTTCTGTGCTTTACCTTGCTCTGCCACGGTTTTTAAAATTTTGCAAAAAATCTGTTCATCTTTTTATCCCCCCAAATATCTTTTATTTTACATTTCTTCATGCTTCACATAGCATCTTGGCACAAGCTTTTCTAATGGAGGTGCCCCAAATCTCCTGATCAGTTGAGGTGTGCTAGTATAACGTTAGCAGAAGTGCTTGTATCTCTTCCTCCACTGCAGCTGTTCCCTTTTCACAGCAGCATGTTGGAAATTTTTCATTTATTCCTCTGTTTTCCTTTAAGGCCGTGGCTGTGTTTGTCACCCAGAGCACTTTGTACAATCCAGCTCCAGATTTACACAACAAGCTTAATCTCTCCTGTGCAGTATCAATAGCAATCAGTCAGCCAGCACAGGCTGCAGCTGAACCAAGCCCCTGAGTGCTCCTCGTGCTAATTTTAGCTCTGGTTTGTACTCTGGGGTGTTTTTACTTCAAACTGTAAATAACTTCTGTTTCCCAGCCCTGTTTCAAGTTGTTTTGTCACCTGTTCCTGATGTTGTAACATGGTTTAAAAGAAGCCATGTGAGCAGCCAGGGGATACAAGCTGCTCCCTGTTTTCTCGGTGTCTCTGAGGCCTCTCTGACAGCTGAAGAACAATTTTTTCACTGAATTGATGTTTTTTTGCTAGTGTGGGATACATGTAGCTCATAACTCTCTTTCAAAGCTGTCCCTTTGGCCCTCTGGAAGTATTTAAACTTACTTTGTAACTAGAAACACTTTAGTCGGGGAGTGTGATACATGTAAAATTTATGGCTGACTGACAGAATTTCGAAGGAGTACAAGTAGGTGAGTGCTTTCAAGAGGTGAGGCCAGGGGGAGCGGGTTGGGCACAGAGCTAGTGAGGGAGTTTATATATTTATGAAATTATTGCTGTGATTCATAAAAGTTGGTTACAAGCAACTCTTGCTGCTTTCTCATTTTGTCTCTGTCCTCCCATGCAGCATAACTGATTACCCCTAAAAAGGAGGGGGACAGTACACTGGTTATTCAGCAAACCATAAATATCCTGAAAAGTGGTTTTAACAAGTTCCTCGTCCCTTTCTTTGCTGTAAGCAGGGGCAGGAGAGGAAAATCAGGATTGTGTGAATGGGGTGAGATCTAACGAGAGAGTGTGAAAAATCTCTAATGGGTGGGTGCGATGGCCTGGGCTTCTTTCCTTCCCACCCCTTGCGCGGGGGCCGGGGCAAGCAGTGACACCGTGCATGAGGCAGGCG